CCTCAGCCTCCCAGAGTGCTAGGATTACAGGCGTGAGCCACCGCGCCCAGCCACGACCCATGTTTTGAAAAATCAGAAATGGTCAATATATGGGGAACAGTTCCGTGTTATTAATAAATAAAGAAATATAAACTACAGCCATTTTCACTGATGATTGTGGCAGGGTTCTTGTTTCTCAGTGATCCAAAGTAAGGAAAGAGGGTACTATCATTAGGGATATAAATTATAGCCATCTTTTCTGTAGGTTAACTTAGCAATAGAAGACATCGTAAGCCCTATGGTCTATAGCCTTTCTTCTAGTAAACAGACTTTTACAAATGGATTCCAAAAAAGTAATCGGAAATATGAGCAAAGGTTTTAAGTGCCACGGTGCATTAAGATTAGTAAGGTGGGGTATGATGGCTCATGTTTGTAATCCTAGAGAGACCCCATCTCCACAAAAAATAGAAAAATAAAAAAATTAGCCGGACATGGTGGTACACATGCCTGGAGTCCCAGCTACTCAGGAGGAAGACCGAAATAGGAGGATCACTTGAGCCCAGGAATTGGAGGTTGCAGTAAGCTGTAATGGCGACACTGCACTCCAGCAGCCTGGGCGACAAAGCGAAACCTTGTCTCAACAAAAAGAGAGAGAGAAAAAAAGATTAGTAAAAAACATCTGAATCAACCTTAATGTCCAACAAGGAATATTAAATTATGGTACACTCACAAATACAACACTCCATTAAAAATCATGTCATAAAATACTGAACATGGAAAAATATTTTTTAAAATAGTGTTAAGTGGAAAAAGCAAGTCATAAAACCATGTGCCTATATACACTGCCATTTCTGTAAAAAGAGGGGAAAAAAACTATGTATGAAAGAAAAAAGAACCAGAAAAGCATATATACCAAAACTAACAGTTACCATAAGGAGATGGAATAATAAACAGTTCTTTTCTTTATTTTCCTAAATTTTCAGGACTTGGTTAAACTAACATAAATGAGCACAGACTGTTATGGTACATGCTCCTTTACCTAGAGGAATTAAATGAGTTTAGATGTAGAGTTCACAGGACTAATGAGCAAATACTCTGGCAATAAAGGGTAATTTGTACCAGATACTGATATGGAAGGTTCTCAATTAGGATCAAGCTCAAAAGTATTTATAAAACAAATAATTAGCAGGTCTTAATTTACAGTATGATTTCCTACTAATTCCTAAATAAGAAAGGCACTTAAGTATTGCTGCTAATTAAAGAACAGATTAAAGATGATTCCTGGTAAAGTGATATATAGCAAGCTTCAATTGCTGAAATTGAACAAAACTGTTTCAACATTTAATTACCATGTTAGCCAGTAATACAAAGGATTTAAACATAAAGTAATCCTATCACCCCTTTCATTCCTTCCAACTTACCTCCCTTCAGCCTGTTGGGCCACTGAGTTAATCCAGAGAAGATTTTTTCCAACAATAGAAGATGACCAGACAGCAATTCCCTGTATAGCTTCAGGACAATGAAGTTCACACAATGCTTCTACCACCATCATAATGGTTACTTCCAATTCATTCCCCTGAAAATGGCATTCAGAAAAATTAATCACAGACTTCAATACTATTAA